TATATTTATTAATCCTTCACCCATTTCTTCTAGAGGGACATACAACCTATCTTTGGAGTTTCACCAATGTATTTTGCCTTTCTTAAATATTTTCTTATCTCCAAATCAATTTTGTCTAGGTCAGTTATTTTCCAATTTACAACTGATGCTGAATATCTGAAGATAGGGATTACTTCCGTGTTTATTCTAGTAATATATCTTCTATTACTACTTTCATCAGTGTTTATTTCTTCCATCTTTTTCATCATTTTTTCTTTGATGGTTTTACAATTGAAGGTGTCTTCAATTTCGTCGGACTGCCATATTCCTAAGTATTCATACAAGTCCTCACCTTCAATTACGGGGATGTTTTGCATTCCATCTGGTATTTCTTTAATGTTTTTAATACCAATCCTGAATTTTTCTCATTCATTTCCATCCCTATTCCACTTATTATTTCATTAATTTCATTGTGGATTATTCCCATTTCTTCACTACTTTCCGTCATTATTCTCAAATCATCCATATATAATGTGTGATTTGTTTTTGGGAATTTCTCTTCGATGATTTGAGAAATTACATTCATCTGAATGATGAAGAGTAGAGGGGATAAGGAATCACCTTGTAAAATTCCTCTATTTAATTTAATCATCATAGATATTCATTAAATTTATAACCGATGAATATCTTCCATCTAGTCATCATACCTTCAATAATGTCAATGATGACTCCATCATAATTAAAATATTTTAATGATTCAATTACCCATTCGTGGTTTACTGTGTCATATGCTTTCTTAATGTCATAATATGACTCATCATATTTTGGGTATTTCTCTTCTTTTTGCTGCTTTAACATATAACTATTTATTATTCCTTCTTTAGCAGCTAAAGATTGTAATTTACATCCCAATTGGTTTCTACTGATTTTAAATGATTCACTATTCATGTTAAATCTTCTGTGAATATTTTCTTTTAATATGGAGGTAAATACTTTCATAATTACATTTGTACAACTGATAGGACGATAATTAGTGACATCATTCATATCACTTTGTGGATTAATAAACTTCTTCCACTTACCATGTCTAATGGGATGTTTTGAATGAAGTTTAACCATTCATTGAAGATACTAAGAATGGCTTCTCTTGATGATGACATCCTTTTCAAATAATACCCATATATAGTGTCTTTTCCTGGTGCTTTCCAGTTATTTATTCTCATTATACTTAAATTTAATTCATTTATTGTTATAATGACACTATCATAATTTCTATATCTTTCATTCAACAAGGTGATTTGTTTTATTTTCCAATAATCTTTATTTAATATCACCTGTGTTTCATATAACGATTTCCAATATTCTAAAGTAATATCGTTATTTGGGTATATTTCATTTTTTGTTTCTTTCTTATTCTAATTTTCTTGTTAGAATCAAACATGATTTTATTTGTATTGATTCTGACCCTTTCTTCCTTATTAAATTTAATTCTTTCTTTTATCATTGTCATCATATATTTTATGTATTTTATTCTTTCTAGTGCTTTGACTTTTATTCCTTCTTCATCATGTTCTTTTAATTTCATGATGCACTTTATTCTGTACCATTTCCTTCCCTTGACCAAATCTTCTAGTCTATTGATTTTCTTTAGGATTTCTTTTATTTCATCAAATTTGTCTCTTATTATTTTATTTTGGAGATAGAGGTGCATAACCATTGAAATATTCATATCATCTTGCAGATCCTGCATTCTGCTTCCTGACCATATCCATCTATTATTAATTTCATTTATTAATTCATAAGTTTCTTTTCTTTGAAAGTAGTAATTAATGTTTGAACATTTTTCTATTTTCATTTCTTTTACTTTATTGATGAGAGTGTTAAGGTATTCTTCATCAATTTCAGTATAGTTATTTTTTATTATGATTTTTTATTATTGAATCACACTCTACTCTTCCTTCTATTATATCATTTATTTTCAATTTAATGTACCGTTTAGTATTTTCTTTTATTTTATGTGATATTTTAATATATTTAATATATTCTTTTTCATTATTGACATTGATATTTATTGCTTTTATTATATTTTCTATTTGTTCATTTTTTATTTTCTTATATAATTTCTTATTTAACAAATTAATTCAAAACAATACAACACTTCAATTAAAATTCTATTTCTTTGTTCTGTTGTATTTCTTGTCTGACTGTCATCTCTTGTTTTTTGACAATCAGTGCTTTGCTTTTCTCTTCGATTTCCACTACTGTCTTTTTCATAGGAGTAGTTTCATTCATCTCCATCGTTCCTGATGATGTTTTCCTCAGTACTGGTTGTGTATTTATCACAAGTGTCATCGTTTTCTTCTTCTCTAATTCCTTCTGTGAAATAAAATTTTCAATATCATCTTGTTGTTTTGATATTATTTGTTTTTGTGCTTCATTTTCTTTTTGTGTGTTGTCTAATTCTTCTCTTGTTATTTCTGCAATTTCTTGGTTTTTAATTGCAATTTCTTGATATTCAGATATTTGTTTTTCTTTATCTCTTATTTCTTTCTTTAATTCTTTAGTATTTTCCTCTATCATTTCAATTTTCTTCTCTAATGTGTTTGCATTTTGTTCTAGCGTTTTGTTTCTCTTTTTTAGCTTTTCAATTTCTTCTTTCATTTCTTCATTTTCTTTTTCAATCTTCTTTTTATTAGCTTGGATACTTCGGATTTTTTCTTCTTTATTATTTACTTCTGTGATTTTCTTTCCTTCTATCTCGTTTACTTTTCCTTGTAGATTTAAGTTTTCTTCTTCTAATTTTTCATTTTCTTTCTTCATTTCTTCATAATTCGTTTGAATCTTTTTAATTTGTGTTTTCATTTCTGTAATTTCTTCTTCAAATTCTTTCCTAACTATTTCTTTTGCTTTTCTCATCATTTCTTCTGAGATGGCTTGTTCTTCTTCCATTCTTTTCATACTTAATTCTTTAAGTTTTCCTTGTAATTCAGTAATTTGATTTTTCAGAGCAAGTATTTCTTCTTTTTCTTTTTCTTCTTCTATCTTTTCTTCTTTATTTTTTGTTTCTTCTTGTGTTTTCTTTATACTTTGTTTGTTATTTATTATTCTTGCAATTTTACATCTATCATTCATTTCTTTAATTGGGTTTTTGTTTTTAATTTCTGCTTCTATAGCCTTAATGTCTTTTTCTTCCCAATCTTTTGTTTTTTCTTTAAACTCTTCTTTCGTCTTTTCAATTACCTTTTTCTTTTTAATTGAATATACTTCTTGGAGGATATCATACCATCTTTTCCTCTTACCTTCATATTTTTTAAGTATTTCTTCGTATTCTCCTTCTTTCCATTCACTTGTTATTCTTTTTATTCTTTCTTGTATCTCATTTATTGTTAGCCATTTATATTTGTTATTTGTATAATCTTTATTGTTATTGTATTTACCTTGTTTTTTATTTGTTTTTCTTTGTGTCTTTCGTCTTCTAAACCCTTTTTCCTTGGTGTATCATTTACCTTTATTATTATAATTGTTATGCCATTTATTGCTATTGACATTTCTTTTTTTGTTGTATGACCTTATATTTCTATGTCTTGTTTGCTTTTCTTTACAAGACCCTAAGGTTTTACACAATAGCCATGGCATTAAAATTTGTTGTATTTCCTGCATTGGAAAAGGAATAATAATAATCAATAAATAGAATAATATAAAATATACTTTACCAAAAAAGAAACACTTTAAAAAGATAAAACAATAATACAAGAAGAAGAGTTGGTATAAAAACAAAAAGTTTTTAGATTAGAATGAATGAAGAAAAGAATTGAAGAGATATGAATAAAAAATATAAGCAAATTTTGATAATAGAAAAAAAGGAAAAACTAAAAATTAAAAAAAGAAAATGAACATCATCATTACCTTGCTTTTGTGTTTTTGTTTTGGTATTGAACAACCACAACAAAATCAAGCAGTTGTCGTTAATTTATCAAGATATTGGTTAAATTATAGACATACTAACAGTGGAGTATTAATATATAATACATTAAAGAGATTAGGATATTTAGATGATCAATTATTATTTTTTAATGCTGACGACCACGCATGTCATCCAAGAAATGTATTTCCAGGAGAGATGAGACTAAATACAAACATGCCGAATATTTATAAAGATATTATTATTGATTATAAAGGAAGAGACGTTAGTATTGAAAAATATATGAGAGCAATGCTTGGAAGAGATGTCAAAGGAACTCCTGATAGTTTAAGACTTGTAAGAGGAGAAAGAACATTCATTTATTTGATTGGACATGGGGGAGAAGGATTTATGAAGTTTCAAAATAGAGATGAAATTACATCATATGATATAGAATATATGTTTAAAGAAATGGAAATTATGAAACGATATAAAGAAGTTATGTTTGTGGTTGACACTTGTCAAGCCACTAGTTTAAGTGATAGGATTAAAGCAAAAAATATTATTACCGTTGGAAGTAGTGTAACTGGTCAATCAAGTTATTCTGGTTATATTTCAAATGAAATTGGTGCTATTACATCAGACTTATGGGACCAACACCAAGATGTATTATTCCAACATTCATTAAACAAAGAAAGTAATATGACTGTTCAAGATTATTTAAATTATTTTAATAAAAATATGCTTAAAAGTAATCATGGATGGAGAAGTGATTTATTCAATCGTCCATTAAGTCAAGTTAAAATGACCGATTTCCTTGCTTATATCCCACAATCAGTTGAAGTTGATTTAAATGAAATACCTTGGTCAGATAACATTTTTAATTAATTTTTTTTTGTTATTTATATATTGTTTTAAGAAAAAAAGAAAATAACAAATTAAATTATAAAAATAGAAAGAATTAAAAAACCCTTAAAAAGGGTTAAAAATGAACAAAAAAAAAATTGAACAATTATCCTTTTAATAAAGTAACAACACTTCAGAAAAAAAGGAATTTCTTTAATGCAAAATCTTTAAATAATGAACTTAAATTATTCAAAGAAAGCATTAAAGAAGTACCATGAAAAGAAGTGTTTGTTTTTTTTTTCTTTTTAGAATTTTTTTTACAAAAAGACATGAAATAAATGAGAATGAAAAGATTTTAAAAAAAGAAAATTTTGAGAAGAAAATTTAATTGATAGAGTGACAGTAAAAAATCAAAATATGATAGCGAAGAAGATTCTGAGAAAATGAGTGAAGATTATGACGAAAGAAATAGTGAAGAAGAAGACGTTCCTAGAACTAGAGAAGGATATATTGCACATGATGGATTTATTGCATCAGATGATGAAGAAATTGAAGAAGAAGTTCCAGAAGAAGATGCATATGAGGAAGATGAAGAAGAGAAAGAAAGAAGAAGAATTGAACGAGAGAAAAGGAAACTTGAAAAACAACATAAAAAAGAAGAAGCAAAAAAGAAAAAAAGAAAGTTAATTAAAGAAGACGATGATGATGATGAAATGGAAAGTGGGAATGAACAAGTAATGGACGAAGAAATAGAAGATGTTGGTGAAGATGAAGAGATGACAAGCAGATATCTTGAATGTTTGGAACCTGCTGATAAGGAAAAAATGAAAAGAACACAAAGGATTGAAACTATATATAAAACTGATTGTCCTGAACGATTATATGACAGAAAGTCAGTATTAAATAAATATAACGAAGAAATAGATGATCAAGAATGGAATAGAAGAATTAGAGAAGAAGTAGAATGGCTTGATGGAAAATTAAGATATATGATTCAATTAGAAGCAGAAGACTTAATGGGAGTAATAAGAAAAATATTAGAATTAATGTATAAGTATCATCATGAATTAATGTATATTTATACTTATGATAGGGATTGGTATTATCCATACATATCAAGGGATTATTCTAAAATTGATAGTTATCAAGTATTAGATATGTTATGGATGATTTGGAATTATGATGAAGAGTATTCTCTTTTTTGTAAAGAAAAAGAGAAAGTAAAAGAGGGATTAAAAGAAATTCCTGAAGAAAGAAGAGCACTATATTCTGTAGAATTAGATAGTGTGATTGAATTACCAGATTTGAAATTGATTTCTGATGACTTTTTGTTAAGATATAGGAAAGATCAGTTTGATCCTTTAAAACAAATTTCAAAAGGAAAAAAGTCATATCAAATTCTTATTCAAAAGAACTTTAAAGAAATGTTGGATGGTTTTGGATTAACTGCTGATGAATTGGCTCAAAACATTAAATCAAATTTTAAGAAAACTATTCCTAGAATGTGCCCTGAAATTCCACAAGCAATTGCTGCACGAATGGTTAGTCCAGAATTTCCTGAACCTAAAAACATAATGAGCGGAGCTAAAATGATTTTTGCAACAGAGTTTGCATATAATTGGTATGTAAGAAAGTTCTTCTTTGAAGAAGGATTAAAAGATGCAGAATTAAGTACTGATCCAACACCAAAAGGAGATGAGGTTATTAATGTATTTCATAAATATGCAATAATTAAAAGATTAAGAAGAAAACCAATTGGATTAATGAGAGGAAAGACAGACATATTAAATATATTTAATGCTGTAAATGAAGGACTTCTTACTATGACAATTGAAATACCTCAAAATATTATAGAAAATGCATCAACGTTATTAGTTGGTGGTGATGATTTAGAAGAATGGAGAAAATATAAAAAAGAAACACTTGAATTTGCATTTAAATATTTTATTACTCCATATGTTGTTGAACAACTTAAAATTGAATTAAGAAAAGAAGCAGTTGATTGTTTAATTCATGAAGCTCAATACAATTTAAAAAGAAGAATTGATGTAGCACAACATTTTGCATTAGGAAAATATAGTAAAGATATTGATAATATTTCAGCATTAGAAAAGAAATTTGTTGGAGGAATTGTTTTTAGTAAAGAAGGAATGATGGGAGTTAAAGTAAATGCAATGACTGGAGAATTTATTGAAGGAAAATATTTTGGAAAGAATAATAGTAAATATGGAGAATATGAAGAAGAATTAAAGAAATTTTTTGGTAGAGATACGTTAGTTGTTGGTATTGAAGCAAATACTCAAAGATATGTTTCTGTTACAGCTACAATGAAAAATAACTCTGAAATAGAATGTGTTGGAATTAATAAAGATTTAGGTAGAATTTATAAAAAAGAAACAAAAGGTGAAATGTCAGAATTAGAATTTGCAGGCGCTTGTGTTTGTAGACAACTTATTAATCCAATAGCAGAATTTGTTCATATTTGTTGTACAAAAGAGAAAATGCTTAGTATTAAATTACATTGGTTACAAAATACATTAAATGAAAGTGAACAAAATAAAATGTTTTCAGCACTAAATGAAACATTAATAACTATAATCAATTCAAAAGGAGTAGACATTAATCAATGTATTGAATATCCTCATATGGAGAAAATGTTGGACTATGTTAATGGATTAGGGCCAATAAGAACTGATTATATTTTCAGTCATTTTAGACAATATGACTTCAAAGTTACATCAAGAAAATTCTTAAATGAGACATTTAAAACTGATAAATTAGAAACTGTAGTTGATAATTGTATTGGATTTATTATTATTTCACCTAAATATTCATCAAAGAACTTGTATTTAGATCAAACAAGAATTCATTTTTCAAGATATGGATTAGCAGAAACTATAGTAGATGATGCGTTCACTGGAAAAAGACCAATAGATGATTTTACAAAGAAAGTAATGTCATTAACAAGAGAAGACTATAATAGACTCGACTTAGAAGGGTATGGAAGAGAAAATGGAGAGAAAGGACATAGCATATACATTTGTATAATGGATATTGTTAATGAATTAATTGAACCATTCAAATATCAACAAGCATCATTAGCAGAAGCAATGATGAAAGACGAAGAGATCTTTGAGAGTGTTACAAACTCATCTATTCAAGAATTTAAGAAGAACCAATTGATTGAATTTGTATTAAAACCAGGAAGTAGAGAAAGAAAGAAAGGATATATTAGTGATGATTTAGAAGTTTCAATTGAAGACTCTATTAATTTGAATGGAGTAGAGAGTGGAACAACAATTACAGGAAAGATCATGACAGTTGATTATGGAAAGTGTATTATTGATGTAAGATGTGGAAATGATGTAGTAAATGACTACCAATATTTAGAAAATGAATATCGTCAATTACAAGAGAAAGAAAAATATTTAGAAGTATATCCACGTGAGTATGAACATGAAAAAAGAGAAGAGGTTAATAGAAAAGATTATGGAGATGTAGATTTGAGAGGGTTTGAAATAGTTTCAGTTTCTAAAGCAAGATCAGATGTTCAACAAGGATCAATAGGAGATTATAAGATAGTACCAGTTTCAGAAGAAGGAGTATTTAAAGGGAAATTATTACTTGTATGGAAATGGACACCAAGCGTTATATTAAATATTGAATGTAAAGAAGAGAGTGAAAGATATGGAAGAAATATGAGAATTAGCTTTATTAAAGAAAGAAAAGACTTTGGGAATGTAAGGTCACTTGAACGATATATCAGATTAATTAATGGATATTTAGCAGATCTCCGAAAACACAGAAGATATAATGCTGATGATAATCTTGTTGATTCAGCATTATCTAAGTTAAAAGCATCACAACCAAATGTATTCAATTATTTCTTGAGTGTTTCTAAACAACAAATTGGCAAAATAAGAATTAGTTTTATTCCAGGAACAAAAACAGTTTCAAGTCAATTTGTTAGATTAGGAGAGGATGGGTTTAAATGGAATGGAAAGACATTTAATACTACCGATAAGTTAGTTGAAGAATTTAAAACAGAAGTAACTAAAATTCTACAGAAAAAACAATAAGTCTAAATCAATTATTTTAATTTTTAAATATTTTTCTTAAGAAGCATCTAAAGAAAGAAAATAATAAACAAGAAATGATTGAGAGAATAATTTAATAATTTTAGAAATAAAAATGAAAGAAATAAAATTAAAAAAATCATTCAATAGTATTTTATTCAACAAAAGATGGATAATATTATTAATGTATTTCATTCATGATATGACATTTATCTTCAACTGATTCAATAAGATTTATGGAATAGAAATTAAATAATAGAATATAATATTGGTTCAATAAAATTGATTAACATAATGAAATATCATTAGAGATAGAAAGATACTATAACTTCAATAAGTACTAATAAAGATAAATTCAATAATTTATAGTAATTTACTACATCAATATGTTTTATTGGAAAAAGAATGAAATAAAGAAAATAAAGAAAGGAAGAAGAATATCAAGAAATAATAATATTTTTGTCAATGAGATAAGAAAAACTAATAAAACTAAAATATTATTTGAAATAAAATTATTAAATTAATTAAAAAATATTTATTAATCGTATTTAAATTATTTCATTCTAATTTAATAAAAATTATTATTTTATTATTTATAATAATATTAAATATTATCCTTTTTAACTAAAATTTTGTTTGTTCTATTTATATTTTGAATGTCGATAATCAAATGATTTATTTTAATCATTTATTTTTAAATGGAATGTGAATAGCTCATTAAATTAATAATGATACTAGAAAGACACAACCACAAGGTTAAGAACAACAACACTGTAAATAAAAAACACATATTGAAGTTATTAAATATAGTAAATCAACTTACAAAATTATTTTAGATTGGAAATTCTCATGTTGAATACAATTAAATTAAGAATAATAAATTAGTAAAGAGGAAATTTTTATATAAACATTATTCTCAAAGGTTTTAATGTGTTTATTCAAATACAATTGAATAGTTTTACTAAATATTAAAGTCATTTGATTTGAGAGTCATTTTCTATTATTCAAATTGAAAATGAGAAAAGATATAATATTTTAATACTACACTAAAAATTATATATTTTATTTATTGTTTTTGTTTCATTTTTTCTTTACTCTTGCATTAAATTTACACATTACAATTTAAAGACTATGATAACAAACATTTGTATAGATTAAATATATACTCTTCAATATAATAACAATAAAATTTTCAATCAATTAAATTATTCACTTATTACTGTAAACTGTTTCTAACATTCTTACAATTTCATCTGTCGTTAATCTTTTGTTTGGTTCTTGTTGCCATGACTTTTCAATAATTTCTTTAATATCTTCTTCTACTTCTTGTATTATGACTGGTCGTTTACCTGTTGTGATTGTATCTGCAATATCCCATGGATGTGGATATAATGTTTTAGGAAATGGATCTTGCCATGTAATGATTTGTAACATTGTTATTGAAAATGAATATATATCTGATTGCATTTTGTAATGTTCTCGATTTAACACTTCGGGTGCCATGTATTTTGGTGTTCCTATCCCTTTTGTGAATGTCATATTTGTCATCATCATATTAATATTTCTTGCACTTCCAAAATCCGTTAATTTACAATTAACTTCAATATTATCATCAAGTGATACAACAAGGAAATTATCTGGTTTAATATCTCGATGTAATATTCCATTTGAATGAAGATATGAAATTCCTTTTGCTCCATCTATCATAAATTTGATTCTTATTTTCTTTGATATTTCTGTAATTTTTCTTTTATTCATTATATCTTGTATTGATCCATATTTTGCAAATTCTGTTACCATACATATTTTATTAGGAATAAATACTGCTCCATAAAAATGAATGATATATTCATCTCGAAATTTATCTAACATTGCTACTTCTTTCTCAAATTCTTTCTTTTTATCTTCACTTTCTTCAACTTGTTTCATTTTCTTAATTGCTACTTTATTTCCTCTAAATTCTCCAACATAAACAATTCCAAATGATCCTTCTCCTATTTTCTTTTCTTCTTTTATTTCATCAGGATCAAGTCGTGTTGATATTTCTGTTTCTCCTTCAATAGAAATACTTTTGATTGTTTCTTCTTGTGCTTTATTAAGTGTTTTACTAATTATCATTATTTTATCGTTGATTTTAGTTGTACATTTGATTATAATGAATAATTCAAATTCACATGCATATCCTCCTTCAATTGTAATGACATTTGGGTTTGTTCTAATTGAATATTTCTCATTTTCTTCTTTACTACTTATTTGTATCTTCATCTTTTCTTTCTTTGAATTTCCAATACAAATCAATTCTCGTATTTCTTCATTCACTTTAATTTCTTCTCCTTCTTGAAGTTCAATTTCTTTCTTATTTGTTAATATTCCATCTCCAAGTGGTATGAATTTGATATTTGATTGTGTTATTTTGAATATTGTTGTTGTTTTCTCTCGTTCTTTCTTTTCTCTTCTCTTCATTATGTAATTAACCATCATTATTATCATTACAATTGTTATCATAATGATAATAACTATAATAATGACAATTATCATTATCATCCACCATACTACTTCTTTATTACATTCATTTCCTTCTTCATTCGTTCCATACCAAAATGAACATTTTGAACATTTATTATTCTTTGCTTCTTTACATTTATTAATATCTAAATAGTAAATACACTCTTTATTTTTTAATACATATTCATCTTCACAACTATTACATTCATTCTCTGTTGAACATCTTGTACAATTCTCTTTACATTTCGAACATTCTTTATTTATTAAATAATATCCTTCTGAACATTCTCTACATCCATATTCTTTATCTATTTCTCCTTTACATCCTTTAACTTCGTCTATTGATTTGCATTCTCCTATCCAACTCATGAAATATCCATCTACACATGTTATACATTTATCTTTTTGATTGCATGTTTCACACATTCTTTCACATATTTCACATCCTTTTCCATTTCTATAATATCCTTTATTACATATTCCACATCCACTTCCATCTGCTAATAATTGTAAACATGTTCCATTTAATTCATTATTTGATTGACATGTTCTATTACTACTTAAATATTTATCACTAGAACAACTCATACAATATGTAGATGAACCATAACATGTTTTACAATTATCATCACATTTTGAACATTTCATATTTGTTGTTAAATAATATCCATCTGAACATCGTTTACATCCATATGTATTTTGTTCTTCACAATTTTCTATTGTTGTATTAATACATTCTCCTTTTGAATTAAGTGAATATGTTGTTAAACATTCAACATATTTTCCATTAACATATGATTCATTTGAACAATTTGAAATATTGGAATTACATTTTCCATTTTGATCTTTTATCTTTCCTTCTTCACATGTTTCATTTATACATTTATTATTATCTAATTGTTGGTTGTCTTTACATTTTAATTCAATACCATCTGAATTACATATTGCTGATTCTGTACATTCTATACATTGATTATCCTTGATGTATTTTCCATTTTCACAATATATTTCTTCATTCTTTCCATTTTTATTTTCTTTACTTTCACATATTCCATTATTTAATGTATATTCATTTGAACATGAAACACATTCATTTCCTTCATAATAACATTCTTCTTTATCTTTAACACATTTATTATTTTCTAATTTATATCCATTTAAACATTTTAAACAATAATTTCTTTCTGACTTCGTACAATTATTCATGTCTTGACATTCTCCATTTTCATTAACATATCTTTCTTTACATTGATAACAATATGTTTCAGTTCCAATTGTACAATTTTTTTGCGATATTTGACATTCATATGTTGAATTAAGATAATATCCATATTCACATTCAATACAATGACTTTGATTATTTATTTTAATACAGTGTGAACCATTTTGACATTCTTTCATTGAATTAAGATAATATCCACTTTTACATTGAATACATTCAATTGCATTTTCTTTGTAAATCATACTATCACAGTGATAATCATTCTTACCATTACTAAATGTAATTCCTCCTATACCAATAAACATTATTTGACTTTTCATTGAGGATGTTGTTTCTGAAAATTTTATTTTGTCTAAAATTGATAATGGCTTTGATGAAGAAATTATTACTGTTGAAATTGACTTGTCACTATCTTCTACTTCTTTAATTAATGTTACTGTACCTTCATTTGATTTTCCAATTGTTAAAATAAATTCAATTCTTTGATATGGTTCTTTCTTTCTATAAATGTTGAGAGTTGTTTGATTTGTAGATTCATATTTTAACCATTGATTAGGATATGTATAAACTGTATGAATCTTTGATGAGTTATAGTTATTGATGATAATATAATTATTAGTTGATAATGAGATCAAATAACTATAACTGCTTAATAAAGATACATCAGTAGTAACTATAAATGAATTAAAATCATCTTCATCGTCTTTTGTAAATGTACGTGTACATTCTGATGTTATGTTATGAATTATAATATTATTAACACTAAAATAACGAACCATTCCATTACATGTTTTATTGAAATATGCACTTTTTGTTTGAGTTGTTATTTTATTGAATCTTCCTTCATATGATGATATTATATACCATATCCCATTATTTGATTCTAAATGTAAATTGGTAGGAATTGAATTAATATAAGTACGTTGAATAGGTAAATGATAATAATTATCATTAGTATCAACTCCCTTAATAAATAACTCATCAATATCATCCGTTATTTTTGTTGGACTATTTCCAATATAGAAAACAAATTTAATTTTTCCAAATGAATATGAATCTTTGGTGAGTTTAAGTTCAAAATTTGTTTCAATATTTTTGAATGCGAGTAACAAAGCTGAGGATGAAGATTTTATTATAACTTTTTGTGAGTTAAATTTGTTGGTTGCTGAACCAAAATAAAATTCTCCATTCGTATCATAAGCTTGAATAATAACTGATTTATAATTAGTATAGTTTCCTTCTATGGTATTTGGTACTGTATTTGAATTGATTTTTT